TTAACAGGTCATTGTCGAAGCGTAGTTTATGCATGGTTATCGTGTTCTATGCATTCACAACATGTTCACAGCGGTCGATATCCACGCTGTATCATATAAAAACGATTACCAAGATTCGTTATGCAAGACCAAGTTTTAAATTAGTTGCATTTTAAAGGGGTGGGCGCTTTGTCGAATGTGGCCCCAAATATAAAAATTGCGCAAAATTGGGGGGTTGGGCGCTTGCCTGGGCATGGGCGTTAACGCGGTCGAGTACGATAATCATAAGTTCTGTAAAACTTTCCATAGTACCGAATTTTGCTATAAATTTACCCTGGGCTGTTAAACGATAATTTGGGGTTTTAAAAAAATGAAATGGGACCGAGAAATCTTTTTTTAATGTCCAATTTACGACTGAATCCGGTTATATGACAGGAAAGTCCTGTACATCAGTTATATTCAGAGTGGTTTATAGTGTTGTATTTCATTTCATTTACCATATTAATATACCATTCCAGTATTTTCACCATTAACGATTTCATCATAGATTGCCTATTTTGTTAACTGAGAAGTAAATGACAAAAATAATAATTGCCAAATTATTGCGCTCTCTATTTTGGTTATACTACAAACAGCATATAAAATTGTTGTAAAATAATAATTATCAATGGTGTTAATGCTACATGTTTCAGGGTATACACATACAGTTATTACATCAAATGTTATCTTCATTGTGTTCACAGGTTGGTGGCTCAGCAGGACTCTTGATGGATTTAGCTGCCAATGAAAAGGCTGTACATGGTGATTTCTTTAATGGTAAATACCTAATGAGCAATCAAATGTGTTCCTGGTCATACATGTAGTTTTTGATTAATGTGATATGGCTTGACTGGCTATCAAACAGCACATATCAAACATAAAAAACAACATGGCTTATGATATTGATGCAGGTTCATGGGCACATACTCATAAAAGGATTTTGAAATCTAGAAAAGTAATATATGCGTATGGGATTAATTATGATGTGATTGTGCGTATTATTTGTTATGGTTTTTGAGGCTGTCAGGGTGTTTGAAACTTTTTGTATGTTTGATCTGAAATGTTCAAATTAGTAGTAGTGTCATTAGGAACAAAAAAAATTCTGCTTTATTTGTAAAACTTTTGGTTTTCTGATATGTGAAGTGTGAAATACTTGACCAGAATTGAATAAGTGCCAAACATTGTATATAATATGGACATTCTGTCATAACTTTTTGTTTTGACAAACTTTAGTTAAACCACTACAATTAATATACAACCTTGCAAATCATTCAAAAGGAAATATTTTTGCATCTGTTTACTATGTTTTAAAAACATATGTTCAAGTTCTGGTAGAGCTCTAACATTGAAACATCCAATGTCAAAGTCAAGAGCCAAGACTGAATATGAAAAAAGCAAAACAAAAAAATGTACACAAGTACCCAAGAATCTGTATCTGTACACCTTAAGGATGCGGTAGAGTTATTTTCGTGAATTTTGAGTTATTACTTTTGTAAATTTATTGGGCTCATAATTTTATTAAAATTAAAACTGAAACACATCTAGAATACCTTTTTTTAAAAAATAAAAGAGATAAGTCTGGACGCAAACAATAACATTGACTTATTGCGTAATTTGCATAATCCCTTCACGACGAAAACAGTGCACACTGAAGACGACGCGGTCATATCAACTCCGGTTCTAGCCCCGAGTACAGTCCTGTAGTTTGGCCTTCTTCCGCTGATC